CAACAGGCTATGTACACACCATATTTTGTTGTTTTAACAATTTTCTAAAAGGCCAAACAAAAGCACTTAGATGTATTAGCCTTCCAGAGATCCCAGCAACTCCCCCCACCAGTGATCTCTACTTTCTCATCATCTTTGCACTTTTGGTCCACTCACACCACATGATGAACAGCACATCAAAACATAAACAAAAAGTGAAGTTTATGCAGCTGTTTGCCATTTCACAGTCATGCTGCTGCCGAATACCTACTGTGCATGTTAGCAAAAACAAGTCTTTCTCCTACATAAACCCATGTACTTTGACAAGCATTATTTGAAAGTCAGTCCTTGACCTTTTATTTTTATGCCCTGGAGTTGGATGTTTGTGTTAGGCCATGCACTTTTGCTCTAGTTCACTTAATCCCCAAATAAAGTATTGGATCATATAATAATGTAGTGGCTAATGCATTTAATCCTTAGCAATGGTTACTAGAACCTATGGTATAGGAGATTTACAGACACATGAACATAATTCTACTTGGAAAAAGAGGTCATGACCCCTAAGACCGAGATCATAAAATTCCCAGATTTCCTTTCATAGCATGCATGATCTTTTGTTGCCTGAAAATAATATGCAATTCCAATTTTAATTTTGTTGAGTCATCTCTGCCAAGCAAACCTTCCCTTTTTGCTCTGTATTCCTAAAAGTTAAAATAGTCTGAAGATACTTTCTGCCTTACAATTTTCATTTTTAAAAAATTATTTCTACTTTATACATCAATTTTGGAAATTAACATTTTCAACATTACCATTGAAATTATAAGTATAGAAAGATTAGTTGAAATAAGCACTTGAAAGCAGTAACTACTAAGAAATTCCAAATGGAATTCTGAAAATGCATTTTTAAGTTAACATTAATTTACTTATTACTTGGTACATGGCTCAATTCAATTTAACACGCTCAACAAACTGGCATTTTCTACTCTTAATACTGGAGATGACAAACTTTCTACAAATGTTTTATTTCTACTAATAACTTCAATTTTAGTTATTTTCAAGGGAAATTTACCATCCTTTAAAAGATTCACCAACAACAATTTTAATTTCCATAACTGTTATTGTTTCATTCAAACTTAATACTTAAGAGTAATTGTTTTATGCCCCTTTCAACTCCAAAACAAAAAAAATCACAAAAAAAGTTACAGACATTAATAAGGGTTTGCATCTGATTATCAAAACATACATAGCTTTTGGGGATCAAGTAAATAGATTTTCATCATCTATGACCTTTAGCAATTTGTCCAACAGCAAACAGCCTGCTACAGATATTGAAATGTTCAACACAATTAAAAAAATTAATTTCAATGAAGTAAAATCTGCTATGGCTAAATTCCCATTTGCATTTAATATACTTTTTAGTTAAAAATATTTCAATCCATTAAAAACAGCACAAACGATAGCCCTTTATGTTTATTCAAGATCTGGGGATCATTGGGCCTATAAAGGTTTGGCTGACTCAGACCACAACCCTAACTTTCATATATTCAGATTATGGAGCACAGAATGACAAGCAGCAGCTGTGATGCCAGTTTAATTAAAAATAGAGACTCTTAGAAGTTACAGTACAGACAAACTTTAAATTACACTAATGTAGCACTTAGTGGTATTGTTTTTAAAAAGTTTAAAGATCTTTATATGTGTAAAAAGCAAGTCAGATAGTCCCTGACCTCTTTTTAAAGAAGCTCCAAGGCTAAAAGAGGCAACTGTGATGCAGCCAGACAAGAAGGGCATAAAGATCAAGAACACAAATTAAACAAAGAACTGCAGACCAGCCTTGGGTCAGTCCTACTGCATAGCTTCACTACAAAGTTTCCTGAACCTAAATGTCTAAGTGGCAATTTGTTTGTAGGCTGTATAAGCCAAGAAAAATGGCCATTTAATACCTTCCCCTCCACACACAAAAACGTGCAACCGAAGTTCAAGGCCAAATACCAATTTAACTATTAGTTTTGGGTACTTTTACCCTCAAATAGATTTTTAAAAATCGGTGATATTGTAAATGAGTCTTAAGATGTTACTAAAAAAAGTTATGGGGGTAGGAGGGAGAGCCGGTTGGTGACTGCTTTACAAACTACATAGACATAGTAAGCATATAATCTGATTTAGGATAATTTTTTACCACGAACATTATTCTGATGTCATGCTATTCTGAGTTTCCTATATGCAAAACACTAGACTGGTAAACATTTAAAATCATGCATAACAAGGGTCTTGGTTCTGATACATTTACTAGCCAATTGTCCCTGAGCAAGTCACTTAACCTCTGCCTCAGTTTCCTCACCTATAAAATGAAGATAATTCCCAGTGTTGTTATAAGGATGAAATAAGAGTTAAGTGTTTTGCAAACCTTAAAGTGCCATACAGATGCTAGCTATTATTGTTAGTTATAAAAGACAAGGTTTAGGACAAATAAATCACTATCAGACAACAGTAATAATTAAAACAGCTACATCAAGTTTTACGTTCAAATTACTGAAATGTCCAAAAGAAGCCTTAAACTTACTTTACCATTTTGGTAAAAACACAGGCTGTATTTTTATGTCACACTCCTCAATCTGGTTTGTATAAAAAACCTCAGAAGGTCCTATAATTTCACCAAGTAAATGTTATCTTTCCTTACTTTAACATTTTGTTCCTAAGTATCTCATTTTTGAGGGTGCTACTCAAATGTGAACCAATATGGTAGCAAGGACACAAAATTTTTATGCCATTTAGTGGCTGACCAACAAGTACTGCTTAAGTGGGTCCTATTCATCCTGGGGATCAGAACTCAGTTTATCTCCCCAAAACTAGATTTAAATGGCAACAGCCACATGTTCATACTGTCAGAGACCATCCCACTGAGAATCCAAGTTCTGTGAGAGCAAAAGACTAGTCTCACTTTATTTGCATCTTCCCCTCTGGCCTCATTCAGTACCCGACCCACAGCAGGTATACTCAATGCTTGGAGTTGGAGAATATGATAAGTTGTTCTTTTAGTTCTGACAGTATGGTCCTAAGAAGTGCCAAGGTAATTCACATCTACCAGAAATGCGGCAGGGATTTAAGATCTATGAAATAAGTCATTTTTAAAGATTAAAGCAGGGTCAAACAAAAGCTAAGAAACTAGTCAAAAATTTTTAACTCTCTAAATCTGATTATCAAATTTGGCTGACTTAAAAGATTCTTGAGGGCAGAGACAAGTATTCACATCGTTGCACCTTCAGCAACACAGAATTCTGCTGAATGAAAATGTTTCCCCAAGGGCTCTGAGCCCCACACAAATGAACTAGAACCAAGTTTAAAAAAAAAAAACAAAACCCAAAACAAACAATTCTAAAATCTGTTCAACTCACAGGGGACCCAAAAGTTGTATTTTTCAAATTCAGAAAAGCTAATCACAGTGTTAATGCTCAGAAAATTACTTCTATGTTAGTTTCACTTTAGAACTAAATTATGGATCATAGGATTTAGAGCTAAAAGGTCACCTAGTTCATCCTCCCTCATCTTCTATACGCAAAGACTGAGATACAGGAAGATTAAATGATTTGAGGGTCACACAAATAGTAAAACAGAGTGAGCTAAGCTCAGAAACCTAAGGTCCCGACTCCAAATTCAGCGCTGCTTCCTTTGCGACCAGTAAGTTGACTCTGGAAAGTCTGAGGTTTCTGGTACTTAAAGTATGGCCTCATCCTTTCCAAATATGTTATATATTGTGTCTATGAAACCAAGGCTTAGAAATGTGCTACCAGTTAAACCAGTATTCACTCTTTCATGATTTTAGAGGCATTATCAAGAGATCACTGAATGTTTTAATCTATTTTCAAAGTTTTCAGTCATTATTAGAAATTTCAATTTAATACAGAATACAAAAAAAAAGTTTAAAAGATCTTACTGGGGATTTCCACCACACTGGACATTCAGCAAGGAAAAAAAAATTACCAAGCAACTTGGGAAGCAGGAAGCTTAGTGATGCTCAGAAATTTCCTTTAGTTCTATACAATAAGCAATTAAAAAAAAGAAAACTTATTTAAATCAAGGCTCCAGCAATACTCTTCCTCAACCTCTTATCCAGTGTTAAGAATGTTTCTAAGCAAATGGAAACTTCCCTTAATTTCCTGAAGCTCAAAATACAATCTGACCCACAGGAAAAGAGGCTTCAAAGGGAGGTGATGACCAGCCTGAACAAAACTCACTGCACGAGAAAGAAGTTACCAGTGAAAGAAGTCCAGATGCGGAGAGCTGGCCTTGAGTTTCCAGCTCACAATTGGAGTATTGTCTGAATCTAAACAATAACGCAGCATTTCTTTCCCTTTTTAAAAAGCTATAGGGCAGAGTGGAGTATTAAACTGTGGACGAGCCCCCTCCCCCAACAGCACAGAAAACGACCCTGGTCTAGACGAAAACCACGGCGAGCAGAACCGCCCCGGCCCCCGACCGCTCCCGGGGCCGGACGCGCCGCGCAGGTAAGCGGAGCCCGGACGCCCGCCCCCTCCCCCACGCCGGGCCTGCGAGGATGTAAACAGATGCATTCCTGCTGCCGCCCCGCTCCCCGCGGGGAGGCCCGGCCCGGCCACGCCATACCACCTCGGGGAAGCCCCGGCGCCCCTGCCCCCACCTCCAACTTGGCTCCCGGCTCTCCCAAGTTGTTGCCTTCCTTTCGCTCCCTCGGGCCGCCCCGGCCAAGCCCGAGAGGGGCTGGGGGGGCGGTCTTTCCCAGTCGCCGCTCTCCCCGGGACCGGCCCCGCGCCCCATCCCTCTCCGGCCGGGCTGTCCCTGTCCGGCCGGCCCGAGGCCTCCGCCATGGCGGGACGTCCAAGCTCCGCCCTCTCCTCCCGGGCCCCCCAGAACCGCAGGGCCGGCGCGGATCAACAAGTGGCCGGGCCTGGCCGCCCCGCCCCGCCGGGCCTAGACCCGCGACCCCCGCTCCGCTCGGCCCCCGCCGGGCTGGGCCCCGCAGCCCGCGCCGCCGCCCGCCTCACCTGGATGACCTCGTTGACCTCCCGGATACATTCCACCATGTGCTGCAGGATCTGCTCGGCCGTGAGCACCTCGTAGCGGTAGTCCTCCTCCTGCTCGTGCCCGGGGCCGCCCCCGCCGCCGCCCGCCCCCGCCGCCGCCCCCGCCGGGCCCCAGGGCGCTGCCGCCGCCCCCGCCGCCCGTCTCCCCGCACAGCAGCCCGTCCCGCTCGCCCCCGACGCCCAGCCCGGGCTCCACCAGCTCCACCTCGCCCAGGTCCAGGTTATCGTCGTCGGGCTCCTCGTCGTCGTCGTCCTCCTCCTCCTCGGCGCCGCTGTCCTCCTCGCTGCACTCCTCGTCCTCGTCGAACTCGTAGTTGTAGCCCTCGTCCGAGTCCATGGCGCGCGGGGGGCAGGCGGGCGGGCGGCGGCGGGGCGGGGAGTGGGGGGGAGAGCCCGGGCCTGGCCGGCTCCGGCCCCGGCTCCGGCCCCGGCGGGCGCGGGCGGCGGCTCCTCCCCGGCCGGACGCGGGGGGCCCGATCGGCAGCGGCGGGAGGTGGTGGCCGGGGGTGGGTGGTGGTGGTGGTGGTGGTGGCGGCGGTGCTGGTGGTGGCGGCGGCAGCGGCGGCGGGGAGGAGAGGGGGAGGGGAGGGAGGGGGGCCCCGCTCGCCTCGGTCAGACGCGGCTCCGCTCCGGCCTCCGAGAGAAAACAACCCCCAGCGCCACCGCCACGGCCGCTGCTACCGCTACTGAGCCAACAAAGGGGCGTGCGTCACCGCGCCGCTCTACGTCACCGCGTCCCGTCACGCCGCCTCGCCCCGCCCCGGAGGCGCGCCCCGCCTCTTCCGGTCGTCCACGGCCCCGCCTTCTTCCCTGGCCGGAGACGTGCTGTGACGGCTCGCCGCCTTCCCCGTGGCCCTCTGCGCGGCTCACAGGGAAACCCCGACGCCCCCGCGGCCTCTCACCTTCCTTCCGGTCTAATTTCTCCGCGCCCAGATTGTGAGGAGCGCACGCGCGCGCGCGGGAAGTATGTCCGAAACGCCGCCATGTTGGTGTGCCGGGAGGTTCCAAAGTGCTGGCGGAAGAGTGAGGGGCGGGAGGGCAAGGACCTTTGTCATGTGGGTCCGCACCCGCCCGTTCCTCTCTCCTCCTCGGCTCCCGTGGAGGGAGTGGCTGCGGCCCTCGGCCTGACGGACCTGTACCGCCCAGGCATTCCCAGGGCTCGGCCGGCCAGGCCCGATCCGACCTGGCTCGGACGGAAGCAGGTCCGTGGGCGGGGATTGGGCCTAGCCTGTTACCGCGGCCCCCGGTCCGAAGGCCATTAGGGCATCCTCTTGTCCGAAAGAAGCCTCAGACCGAGAAGAGACAGAGGAAGGAAGCTCTGAGTCAGCTGGTCCAGGAGCCCGGCTTGGGACATCGATTGTGGCCGCGATCTCCGTGGGTGACCTCGTGGGACAAGTGAGATTCCACGTTCAGCTTTGATTAGCACCTCCACTTGGCTTCGGGGTTCAGAGACCACAGCAAACCGCTCCGTCCCGGTGGAGCTCTCCTTCTGCCGACGGAACATAATGTTGACACTAACAGCAAATGCATGATATAGACAAAGGAAATTCTGGGAGGGAAGAAGAGGGTCAGGATAACGTGCCTCTGGTAGGACGTGACATTTAAGCTGACCTGTAAGGAAGACAGTGATTCATTCCATCTGTGCAGATCAATTTATTCTAGGTGTAGGGCACAGCCATTAAGGCATAAACGTGGTCTTAATTTCGTAAAGGGTTAAACATTGGGGTCTTGTAAGATCCTTTATAGTTCTAAATCCAGGATCTCCTAATTTGTCTACTTCGTAAACATTTAGAGTGGAGGTAGGGGCAGTATAATAGTGTCCCAACAGTTTTAAAGTGCTTTAAAACTGTACAAAGACTTGAGACATACTGTGTATTGAGTGGAACGCCCATCCAGGAATCAGAAGAATTGTGTTGGAGTCCTGATTTTTTTGTTACCCGAGTGAGTCATCCTTTCCCTTCTCTGGATTTTAGTTTTCGCAACTATTAAATGAAGGAGGACAGTTGATTTAATAGTCTCCGTTTGAGTTCTACGTTAATGTGATTCTGAGGCACATCTCTACTGGAACCATTTTAATAGCAGCACTAGGAAGTTGTTCCCATGTTTTTCTCTCCAGTATTTATTTGCCTAATTATTTCTCCACCTGAGACAGCCCAGGAGAGAAAAAGAAATAAAATTTTACCAGCTTAAAAGTGTGAAACTTGTCAGGACTGTTGCTTTACTGATTCCTGGATATTGACATTGCTGAGATCAGCAAAGAATTTGTTAGATTGCACCATTCCTGAATTATCTTCCTGTTTAAACTCCATTGTAAAATTGATTGTCTTTGGTAGAAGCCCAGCTGGTTTTGATATCATTGTTTACTGTTATGTATCCTTGATATAGGAAGCTTGAAGTAAGAGGAAATAATTTTTTAAAAAAGTTTAAGCAATTCACTGTATTCTAGTGTTAAAGAAGACATCCTGGGGTCATTATGTGACCATCTCCCTGCCTCCAGGCAAATCCGAACCACAGCCTTAGAGTTGAACTAATTCTGTGTGTGTGTTTATTACTAATATTACAGACTGATGCCAGACTGGAAAAATCTGGCAAGTCTGATTAGACAGTGGTTATCTTGATACTGTGCAGCAAGTAAGCCTAGCACCATGTGGCTGGCATGATGACCAAAAAGAGAAGCTGTAGCAGATCAGACTCACTGAATTTGGAGGTTTGTCCACTTTGACTTCATTCATGTAGATTTACCCCAAATCACTGAACCAGCATCTCTGTTTTCTAGGGTAGGAAATTACTCCATTTAGTGTTTTGCCAGAATAATACATTATTCCCACTGTTACATATCGTATGTACTTATGAACGGTGGCTTTGTGTGTCATCTTCAAAGATAAACATCTGGGCCCTCATTCAGTTCTTTTTTTTGAACTCCATCCTGGATTCAGGTTGAGTTATTATTGCTATTCCAGGTAAACCAGCTTAACAACTGCTCTGGCCATAAACAGGCAGAGAGATGACCCACATGTGTTATTGTTTTTTTAAAGTGACTAGTATATCAGGTGGTATATCAAGTAGTGCCTATTATCTCTAAGCTGCGGTAATTGTTGAATGTGTCAATCATGACGCATAAACAACAGGATGAGAGAGCCATACCATAGACAATAAACAACTGATGCTTCCTTGTCTAAAGTGTCCGTGTCATCTGAAAGATGAGTGAGATGGTATACTGTGAGCTCTGCTACTGACATGAAGTGTTGGGAAAGTCTTTTGTCTCAATGCACCTTCTATGATTCCTTTGCAAGAATTTCCCATCCCCCTTAAACCAATCATGATTTAAAACTGACTAGGCTTTTTAAAGGGTTTAATCTGATGTTTTCCAGAGTAAGAACTCTAGAGAGGCAAGCCTTGTCATAGTGGATAGACAACTGAGCCTCAGAGTAAGGAAAACTTGGGTTCAAGTCCTACTTCTGACACATGTTGGGTTGCTGTGTGGCCTTCGGCAACTCTAAGACTTAAGTTGTGGAGCAAGTGCTCATCTGTTTTAGGAGAGGGAGTGTCCTTACCAAAAGACATTGCTCTGCTAATGAAATCACAATTCCAATTGAAAAAAAAAGGCAACACCCAAGGATTTCTGGTTTTTCCAAGGCCACAAATATAACATCGCTTACCTGCCAGGAACTTAACGGTGCAAGTGTTAATAAGAAGTACTTCTCAGATAAATAGAAAACAAAATGCCATAAAAATTCTTCTAAGAATAGATAATAGAAATAATATCTTCCAGCAAATCCAGAGCACTACAATAAAAACCCAGTCTCCAGAACAGATTTGAGAGAAATTGATGAGTACAAATTTATTTAAATGTGATTTGGGCTTAATGCAGTTTTATAGGCATAACACTTAAAGATTTTTTTCAACCAATGTTTTGTAATGATATAATGAACACATTATTGCCAAACTCTGCCATAAGGTATCAAAACCTGTTGTAAATGTGGCTGAATCTGAAGCTAGCCAGAGCCAGGAACCTTTGTTATTTGGGCTAGTCATAAAATGCTCAGTATGATTAGGGTAACTGTATATCTGCCCTCATGCTGATGGTTCTCATTTTGCCCTCTGTGGCATTTTCCCAGTCCAGTGTTAACTAGATCCTCTTGTCTTGACAGCTGGGTAAGACCTTATAGAATCTAGTTGGGAAGGGTTAATGTTCTTGTTGGGAGATGGAAATTCTGTTACCAATTTTAAAAATTACATTGTTTCCAGACTCTGGAAGAACTCATTTAAGGTGTAATGGCCTAAAGTTTGGCTATAGAATTCATAAATGCTACCTCTCATTGTTATATTGAGGAGCAGCCAGAATTGTAGAACCTCATGCTTATAAAGGACCTCAGAAACCATCTAGTTCAGCACTTTTGTTTATAATATAATGGACAAGTGGTCATCTAGCCTTTTGCTTGAAGACCTACTTTTGGATAACCTTAATTGTCAAGTTTTTCCTTGCAGGTAACATATCAGCTTCTCCAATTTCCATTCATTGGTCCTAGTGCTGAACTCTGGGGTCAAGCAGGAAAAAACCTTTTGTATATAGCACCTTTTCACATACTTGAGGATGGCTGTTATCTACCCTCTTAAGTCTTCTCCAGTCTATCCTTAAATGGGGTGATCTTGAGACCTTTCACAATTCCGATCCCCCAATTCTGGGTGCTTTTATCATTACCTCAATAAAATGTGACACCCTGAATGAATGTTATACTCCAGTGTGGTATGACAGGGCAGAGTACAATGAATATCACTCCTTCCCTGCCCTTCATTCTTTGTATGCCATGCATCATCTTATACTCTCCAAGATCACATCAGTTTTTTGGGTTGCTGTAGCATGCTTATTGGTAGCATTCAGTCTGTTAAAACTTCTATCCCTTTTTAGTCCACAAACATTTATTAAACATTTACTATGTGCCAGACACAGTGCTAGACACTGAGAATTCAAAGAAAGGGAAAAAAGAAAAACCCTGTTCCTTTCCTCTAAGAGTTCACATTCTAATAAGGGAGAAAAGTAAATAAGTATATGTATGAGGAGAATGGGAGAAGAACCAGAAAGGTCTCTTGTAGAAGGTGGGATTTGAAGGAAGCTAAGAGGTGGTGGAGGTGAGAGAGAGCATTTCCGGTAGGGAGGATGGCCAGTGAAAAGTCATGAAATTGTTATGTGAGGAACCAGAGAAAGATCACTTTAGCCATATTTGTGTGAAGGGAAATAAAGTGTAAGAAGACTTTGGAAAGGTAAGGAGGGGCCAGGTTGTGGAGATATTTAAATGCCAAACAGAAGACTATGTTTAACTTTAAATTTTTAATTTTATTTTCAGTTACAAATTCTCTACCTCCTGCCTTCCACTCCCATACCCATTG